TATATATATATATATATATATATATACACACACATATTAAATATAATAATATCTTTTTCCAAGTTTGTTACAAATTTGATCAATTTTTATAATACACAATAGGGTTTCATTATAAAAAATGTAAAAACGTTTCGTATAACGCACACATGTGTAACATATTCACAAAAATTTCCTACAAGTGTTCGAACACTTTCTAGTGAGTAACTACATGTGTAATATGTTTAATGACATAGAAGATACGTCTCTTCTGTAGCGTATATCAACACAAGGTAAATCTGGTTGATCGAGAAGAAGATGACAGTGTGGAGTACAGCACGAGAACTACTTGGTTTTTCAATCCATCGTTAAGTAGCCCATTAACTGGCGAAGAAGAGCTAGTCATTCCTCATCTATTTATTATCGGCATGGTCAAGCTTGTCCTCAAATACGAGCCAAAAGCTGCAGGAATGTTCAGTAAATAACACACTTATTTCGATATCGTTAAAGAACTCACAGTGAATAATTTTTCTTTGTTCAACAACAATTGAATAAAGTACTTTAAACTATGAAACTATCTTTAAAATACTTTGGAATATTATGAAATATCTTCCAAATGTTTATGTTGAAAAATATTTCTAAAATATTTTAAACTTTTAGATATTTCCAGGAATATTGATTAATTGACTTCTAAATATTTATTTAAATATATAAATGGGAATGTTCACTTTTGGCATCACCTCACGTTGGATATTTCAATTCCACGTTTAATCTATAGTTCTACAATTATTTATTACTTACTTATTGAAATTTTATATATATTTGCAGACACAAGGAAATGGAAAATTTTATAACAATTTAATATATTAAAGTTTTAGTCATAGTTTAAAATATATTACAATATATACGTACTATTGTGTAATATAATTACAACAGTTGTAATGCAATATAATATAATATAATTACAATTAGAATATAAATCTAATATAATAATAATTATTTAAATTTATTTTCTATCTAATTATTATTTATGAAGTAAATCATAATCGTTGACTTGATTTAACATCAAAATTCACAGATAAAGTTGTGGACATTATGTTCCACAAGCCCAGTTCTATCTTCGTGAGGGTGAAAGTAAGAGAGATTCTCTTCGATGGTTTGCCTATCGACTGCACAGGGAAAGATTTCGGTTCGAAAGTAATTTGCAACGTATTGGAGCAAAGAGATGACGTTTTCCAACGTGCTGGACCTGGACAATATTTGTTCTCTATTCTTGGTCCTGTACGTATATATATATTTACACGCCTGTCTGTTCTTATTCTATATTATACAATATTGTACAATAATAAAAATAAAAATTAACACAATTAACAGTTTGGAGAATTACATTAACAAAAGCTGTTCGTTTGGTGAGGTTTTAAATCTTCACTTTTTTTTTTTAAATGAAATCACATTTTCCTTTCTATTTGTTAATCGATGCAATTTGATATTCTCTATAAACAAAAAAAAAAAAGGGCATCAAATATACGTGCCTAGGAGATATTTCAATTTTAATTCTATTTACATTGTGTAATATAAACTATATTAAAATTATATAATATTATAATATTATAATATAATGCCATATAAATACATTTATTATACATTCATACGTACATAAATTAAATTATATCCCTGCTATATATCTTCAGGTTAATTTAATCGCTTGTAACTCTGACGTTTTAGAAAAATGGTACCATTGCTCCTAACCGTATACGAGTACTACGTGGGACAAAGGATTACAAAGACATAGGAAAAGTGATCGAACTGAACGGGCAGAAAAAGTTGAATGTCTGGTCCGGGGATGAATGTAATACGTTCAATGGCACGGATGCGACGATCTTCGCGCCAATTCTCACGGAGAACGAGGATATGGCGACGTTTTTAGCCGAATCTTGTAGAAGCTTCATTATACGTTTTTCTCACAAGAACAAAGTCAAAGGTGGATGCCCTTGAACAATAAGTGAAATCATGATTATATATGCAGGCTGTTTCTTTCATTCTGCTCATCCCGACAGTAACTTCAATATTTTTGCCAAATACAAAAAAAAAAAAATGTGTTTGATAGCAACACAAATACTGTGGTTCACAATTTTCTCTTCGAATTTTCAAATTTATAGTTTATCCAAGAAGCTATAAATTTATGTATATTTATTTTCAATTTGTTTCGCAGGCATCAACACGTACCATTATACAACTGATTTAGGTGACATGAGTACAAATCCTGCGGAAAAGTGTTTCTGTCCCACACCGAAGACTTGTTTGACGAAAAATCTTTTCGACTTGTCTAAATGTGTAGGTATTCCAATTATCCTTTCTTTGCCACATTTCCTTGGATCAGATGAAAAGTACTTGAAAAGGGTTGACGGACTTCATCCCAACGAGGCAAGTAACTTTGCTCTCTTGAATAACGACTTAATAATCTCTCATTGGTACAACACAAATAATTCTTCTTCGAAGTATTGTTCATCTTGCTTCTGATCTTATTTCTTATTTCTCGTTTGAAATTCTTATTGTCTACGTTTGCCCCAATTTTTCGAATCTTATCATTATTAATCTACGTTTCATATTTTATACATCTTTTCTACTTATTATTAATCTGTACTCTTATACTTTGAAATTTCCTATTTTTTTTTTTTGTCCATTTACGAGAAATTTGAAGATAAAAAGATGCATGAAATATTCGTGGAATATCAGAAGCAAAATATTTCTCACAATATTTAGAAACAAATTTCTATTTTGACTCTATCTCCTTAGTGATATTGATCGATATATTAAAATGCATAAAAATCTGCAGTTTCATAATAATGTA